CTCGACCGATACCCATACTTACTAGATAGGGTGAAAAGGGGTTGCTAATGGTAATGCCGACACTAGGCAAGAGCTCTTTCGTGTCCTGAACGGATGCCATGGGCTAGCCTAGCAAACAAAAACTTTTATCTATAGTAAACTTGGAAGTAAAGATTCGCTTGCGGCGTGAACGATAGTATAAACGCTAGCTCTTGGAAGATAAAGAATAATTCAAATGTGTCTCGAAAATGAGCCGTATTACCGAAAGCATGGCGCATTCCAAAAGACGGGAGTCCTAATTTGTCGTTGTCAGGCTTGCGATCGTTCGAGTGAACTTTGCGTCGTATCTGCTGGACTTCTATTTCCCACGGGTCTTAAGAGTCAATCCCAACAGTTATGCTTGGCCTGTGCTTTCCTCATTGAAACACTCAGATTTACCTACGTCCCACTATTCTCCGACTTCCATAAGTCGATGCAGGTGCCCAAGTGTTTCATTCATATACTTGGGCCTAGGTATTACACCCTGGTCCGAATTTCGACCAAAGAAGCACTTATTATGGCCCACACCGGAGCGAATGCGGTCGTTCGCTTTGCCTAAGCTGACTTTGTACACTACTAATCCCGCACTCAACTGTTTTGTTGAGGGGTAGATGCACTTGATGCAGTCTTCTCAGTCCCCAGATACTCACGGATGGTGGGTTTGTCAATTCGGTATCGAATTTTGGCTTGACAACTTGTTATCCTCAGCTTGTTGAATTGTAGTTAGGGGAATGTTGTCTACTGGTAGTTGTTTCTTGGGTTTTGTACTTGACTTCATTCAACTGCTGCTCTACACTGTAATAACTTCCCTAGTTTTATGATGGCTCCCGATAAGTTCTGATTTGTTTGGGCGCACCAACAGTTCTGTTCAAACAAATAACCTTTGCTGCTGCTCGACAGAATTGCTTTTCCTTATCTCATTGCCTTTTGATTCCACAATTCAATTTTAATTCCTCCGGCTCTACGTCTTTTCGCTTTTTTGGTTTCGTCGTGGTGGGCGAACTCGGGAATTTTACACTAGGGGTACAGCGGAGAATTGAAGTAAGTACAACTCTGTTGATAAGATCTGGCGAAAGAGGACTTTTTTCGAAGGGAAGTTAGTTAAAGATCCCAGCGAGCCCTCTTTTCGACGGCAGATAGCGGGTGCTCGCCGAGGAATCCCCTGGTGTAAAACGTTTTCCATCGAATTGAAGATCTCATAAACGGGCTCAGCCAGCTTCAAATGTCATTCCGATGGATATTTGAAGAGATGACGTCGTTCACAATGATTGCAGTGGGAATGCAAAGCTTGTAGTCATTCAGCACCGTGAATGATTCATATCGGATGACTGGATATCTGAATAGCTTCTCTAAATGTCATTTCCACTGGTACGATATGACGCCGTTTTCGCGATCGTTCAATCCCACCATCGTGTTGGTATTGGAATGCTCAGGAAGTTCGAAACAAAAACTTTGTTCTTCACTAGACAAACAATTGGGTTTCCAATTAGACCTCGCTTGGATCCACTTTTTTGGTGCCGAAACAGCCTAGGGTTATGGATCTGTTCAAAAGAATAGGAAGTAGGAACCCGAATGGGGCGTAACGAGCCGTATAAACAGTATTTACATTTTATCTTTCCTACAACCTTTCCTACGACCAGTTTGCCCTGTTAGCTAGACAAAGGCAGACTACACAAAAAGTCCAGAAAGAATGGTGTTCACTATAACGCTCAGCAGCAGCTGCATAAAACTATTTAGCAATGCATACGATCTGGCGTATGGAAGCCTTAAAGTGTTCTTTACCACCACCAGAATCGTCGCTCAATTGTTTTTTTTTNNNTTTTTTTTTCATCAAAACCAGACCCATGCAGAAGCTCCTGTAAATAAGGACGAACCGAAGCGTCGCTCCTACTTCCAGCTACCTAACTAGGAGTACCCCACCTACATTTTGAACTGGTGAAAAAGCTTCACAAAACCCCGCATGCTCTTCTCATTGGTTGATTCGACGATCCGCCAATGAGAATTGCACTAGGGGTAGGCTCCCCAGGTGCTGTGCCCACCCATAGCTCATACCTTTCTGGAACAAACTTTTTGTTTACTAACCATCAAAAGCAGTTGGATCGTAGACTTGCCCTGAACCGATTATCTGCATATGGTTAAATTGCTCGGAAAGTATGCCATCATAGCCATGCCGAGTGCAATTTCCCAGTTAACCCATCTACTTATCCCAAACTAATTGCCTCAAACTTTCCTAATCTTCTCATCAATACTTCTTAATGGCCAATATGATCCCACGCCAGAGTAAACGACTGTTGTGGGATTAACTCCCAATAAAGAAAAAGAAGTAATAAGTGTGATCTTACTGCTACTGGATTTCAGCCTCAGGAACTCTCCTAACACTAAAAACTCCCTTTTGGAGGTATGACACCTTTCGTGAGGTGTGAACGACGCTATGGGAAGATTTGATACCTGGCCTGTGAAGGTCCCGAAAACGAGTTTGAACACTTCCCAGGTCTCGAGTTCTTCCCACATCAGATATCGCACCCAGAGCGTTATTGCACTTACGAACTCATATATTCATGTTTTCAGTGGAACTGATAGAACTCTTCCTTCATCTTATATGCATTTACATAAACGTGTTTATAACTATTTACAAGTATTAATAAATATCTATTACAGTATATGAACAATAGCAACAGTTTTGTTTACAAGTTTCAAGTGCTCGGATCAGGATTCGAAAACCAGGTCTCCACTTTTGTGGGCCTCTCTGGTTCAATAAGAAGCGACCCCTTTCCAAATCACTTTCTACCTCGCATCTAAGAGCTGCCTGGCGGAATTTTCTTATCATCGGGAACGATCTTAACGTTTTTATCAAGTGGCGCATTTTGTCGATAGGGGAATCAGTACTGCCCATCGAATAGGGCGTTTTTTCTTTGACTGGTTACCTTTCAGAAAATATATTTTCTTTTCAAGAACCCCTTGAAGAAGCAACTCATAAGCTCCTACAATTTCTACTAGAGTTTTTGGCTATTTTGAGTAACTTCCTACCATTGGATTGCACAATAGCACGCCCACACGTCATTAGGATGCTTTTTTTTGAAGAGAAAGATCGGTTAGGCCCGGCTAATCCGTAAGGAATGCCCCATATTCCATTGAACTTCCGTCGACTCCGATTTCAATGCGCCTCATCGATTAAATGGATCGATTATTTCTCTGGTCGATTACTTTGGAATTACTTTTTAAACTAAAACAATTTCCGTCCTTCAGCACGGTCACTGAAAAAAATTGCAATCCATTCCACCGAAAGCCACGCCCCCCGTGTGCTGGTGCGCCCATTTCAATGCCGTCAACCCCCGGTCCTCCAATGTAGGGTTTTCATCATTACCCCTATTTCATTTCTTCGACCCGGGACACAGAACCTTCCAGTACACTTCGCCAGATGCAGGTTAACTGCTTAACCTTATTTTGTGGCAATCGATAAAGTCTTTGACTATAAACAGAAACCTTTTTAAAAATTTCAATTCCCGCGAAATGATTGTGATTCCGGTACGTGTTCAAGTCTCTGCTAACTCATCATTCTGTCAAAAAATAAAAAAGAGGAAAAAGTAGGCTAACAAATAATGAAATAACTCATAATTACTTCTCATTCTTCATTCTTGCACACCTAGTCGCTCCAACAAATTAATTTACGCCTAGTATTACGGTAGTAATTTGGGGCACTCACTGATTTTCCGGTTTTTGGTTTCGCAATCCACTTATAGCTTCCGGGCATCAATCATGGAAGGGGATTTCGTCCATTGCGAAAGAGAACGCCCATTTCGGACCAATCGTTCTGGAGAGCCTGAAATCTTTGGTCCAATGGATATGGGGTCTTCTGTATACGTTTTCCTTCCCAGACGAACTCTGTTCTAAAAAAATTGCTTAAAACTGCGACTTTATAATGCGATATCATTCTATTTAAATATTAAACATATATAGCTCATGTAATTATATAAACAAGTACCATAAAATGACAATCACCGCGATTTCCACCCAAATTCCGTGGTCATTTTCGTTTCAAAGCGTAACGGACAGCTTACTTTTTTTAAACAAAGCTGTGAAGCAATAAAGACTTTATGGCTTTTCGGACATGGTCGTTTTCGTTGCTGGCGCTATTGATGGACCCTTACAGTCGGTATACGACGATCGATCCAAAGGCTTTGTTTCAAACCTAAGGGGACCATTGTTCTAGACCTCAAGGTTTCTTCATGGGAGACAACGTCCGTTAATTTTGTGGAATGTATCTGATGTATCGGTTGTACTGCTTTCAAAAGCGCTACAAAAAAATACGAGTCTCGAACTTTATTCCTCTCACCCCTCACCCTCCTTTATCCCTTCCATAAGTCGTTGAGCAACCCACTTCCCACACAACTCCAATACACTACCAGTGACCCTGACCCCTCTCTTCTTAGCCAGAATTCTGATTAAAACTGAACACTACCCTGAAAGACCTTGAATGAACCCCCCAAGCCGGACCCACCCAAAAAAACCAAAAAGACAACGACGCCGTCCTGTCTGATGAGTCATCGACCATCCCTCGGCCCGGCGATAATTCGAATTGAACATTCGCGCCACAAAGCACCGCTGCGTAGCTGCCCCGTTGACTCGTCATCCTTATGCATTGCGGGTGTGTCGCAGTACGGCACGGAGTGGCGCGAAAAATCCTCGTCGACACAAAACCAGACGCATCCGTCCGTCGTTCGTAGTGGTCGGGTTGCTGCAATTCCTTTTCCTCCCTGTTCATTTTCTTCCCTCCGTCATGTTTTTAGGCATAATTTCATCATTTCCTGTTCCTAGTGTGTTCATTCTTATCATTTCATCAATAGTATTGGTCCCGTTGTGGAGTTTGATATGACTCACGCGTTGCTTCCCGACATATCCAGATACATTTTCTTTCCAGGTTTCATTCTCTAATCGTAATCAGTCGAGAATGGTGAGTTCATGTTGTTTTCATTGCAATAAATATGTATTCTAGCAGTTTCCGTGCTGCAGTAGATGATCAATTTCAGCGTGAAGTGATCTCCATCCACGTTGGACAGGCCGGTGTGCAAATCGGTAATGCATGCTGGGAACTATACTGTCTTGAACACGGAATTCAGCCTGATGGCATTATGCCTTCGAAAAATGAGAATGAATCGTTCACAACATTCTTCTCTGAAACGGGAAACAGTCGCTTTGTACCTCGTGCGATAATGGTGGATCTAGAGCCTACCGTTGTTGGTATGTACTTTCGTTTCACTTGAAATATCATTTCATGTAGGTAAAGTGGTAGAGAATAGAGTTTTTTGCTTGGTAATCCATGGAGCGCTGCAAGATTAGCATGGCATTACGAAATTGCGGTTGAAGGGTATCAGTTGCAACTGGATGCAACTTTGTCGATCATTTGCAAAAGGCAGTGTTGCCAAGTTGTGCACACAAGTGGTCGTGCATTCTTGAAATGTTGCATACTAGCCTACGCATACTAGGTTGGAGAGGAAACCTTCGAATGTGATCTCCCATCAACAGCGCTTTGTTTAGGTCCAGGGATGTTAGTCCTAGCAATCGCGAGTTCCTCGCGTTCTTAGTTGGTGCTGAATGCTGTAATAGATTTGATCGGTCTCCAAGCCCAATCACCAATTCATCATTTTGAAAAATGCGCTCGGGCCGGCTTGCATTCCTTCTGAGTGTAGCCAATGTATTGTTTGAACAGCATGGAGTGAAGGGGAGTTATTCAGATTTGGAAGAGAAGCACTTTTCAACGGTCAGCGCGTTTTCCAGTGAAAGATGAACAGAATTGAGACTAAAAAAGCTCGACGTTTCATAGGATTGTTTCCCCGAAAGTTGATTTTCCTTCAGGCTTGACTGTTTGTTTGTTAATAGGTTCTGCGCCTCCTAGGTGACTGATGATGTGTGTGAGGTTGCTTTATAGGACGGCTTGGTTTTGCTTATTTCTGGGTTTTTGGACATGTTGAAAGTATAACTATTGACTTAGTATTTCAGATGAAATCAGAACTGGTACGTACAAACAACTTTTCCACCCAGAGCAGATGATTACTGGTAAAGAAGATGCGGCTAATAACTATGCTCGAGGACACTACACTGTTGGAAAAGTGCGTATTAGCTGTACTGTGAAAGCTACAGAGTCCGTATTCACAAAATTTTAGGAGATCATCGACCTCGTGCTTGACAGAACTCGTCGTCTTGCTGACAACTGCTCTGGTCTGCAAGGATTTTTGATCTTCCACTCCTTTGGAGGAGGTACTGGTTCTGGATTCACTTCATTGCTCATGGAACGCCTTTCTGTGGATTACGGCAAGAAGAGTAAACTTGAGTTCTCTATTTATCCTGCTCCACAGGTACATAGTAGAAGTTAAAAACTGGGTGGGATGAAAATAATGAAAAGTTTTAGGTTTCTACCGCTGTGGTTGAGCCGTACAATTCTATTCTCACTACCCACACGACACTTGAACATTCCGACTGTGCCTTCATGGTTGATAATGAAGCTATCTACGATATTTGCCGACGAAATTTGGACGTTGAGAGGCCGAGCTACACCAACCTCAACCGAATTATTTCCCAGGTCAGATATACTGTGGGAGGAGGGCATTTTCTCTACTTGATGACTTTTAATTAAAAAGGGGATTTTCAGGTTGTCTCGTCCATCACTGCGTCTCTTCGCTTCGAAGGTGCTCTCAACGTTGATCTCACCGAGTTCCAGACGAATCTCGTTCCTTACCCTCGCATTCACTTCCCATTGGCAACTTACTCTCCTCTGATTTCAGCAGAAAAGGTAAGAAGTGCAGATGTTGCGTTTACCTAGGCACGGTTCAATGATCTCCGAATGTTTCAGGCTTACCACGAGGCCTTGTCTGTAAGCGACATCACCAACATGTGCTTTGAGCCTTGCAATCAGATGGTGAAGTGTGACCCACGAAATGGAAAGTACATGGCTGTTTGCCTGTTGTATCGTGGAGATGTTGTGCCGAAAGACGTGAACCAATCCATTTCCGCCATCAAGGCAAAGAGAAGCATTCAGTTCGTTGACTGGTGCCCCACTGGTTTCAAGGTAAGTTTATTACATTTCGGTCCCCCCTGTAAAGAGCACGATGTTCATCTCTAGGTCGGCATCAACTACCAACCTCCAACAGTCGTTCCTGGTGGCGACATCGCTAAGGTTCCTCGAGCCGTTTGCATGCTGTCTAACACGACCGCGATCGCTGAAGCTTGGGCTCGTTTGGATCATAAGTTTGACCTTATGTATGCCAAGCGTGCATTCGTCCACTGGTGAGTACCCTTTGACCTTTTCTCTTTCGTTTGCAGATGTCATCCATACTCAGCATTTTTCGAAAGTCACGTATGGTTCAGGTATGTCGGAGAGGGAATGGAGGAAGGCGAGTTCAGTGAGGCACGCGAAGATCTTGCAGCTCTTGAGAAAGATTACGAAGAGGTATATATAGTCGTGAGCTCAGACATATGAAGTAGTTAATGATTTGTCTTTCCAGGTCGGATCTGATTCAAACGAGGAAGGTTACGAAGAAGGAGAAGAATATTGAGTGTGTGGCACCGGAAATAGTCACCCTCTTGTTGTAATAAAAGTACCTTGTGCTATCTGTTATGTAAATAAATCGATCGTTCGATTACGAGATATTTTGAGAGAATAGTTTTTTCATGCAGATCATTCCAATGCTTACACAATCTAGGACCATTGAACATGTGCTCAGCTGTGAATCAGGTCCTCATGATCCCGTTGAAAAACCAGCAAGACGGTAATAATATTCAATTCTGTAGTGTAAACGAGAAAACAGTGTGAGGGGTAATTTATGGCGTTGGGCGAGCAAATCAAAAATGTGAGAGGTATAATAAGTAAGCTTGAAATGCAATTCCGTAGAAGAGGAAACAGCGTCTAGGGTGGTGTTCTGGGACGGTCGGAGTGACTTCGGGGAATACTCAAGTCACTGGGGCTCATGGACCGTGATAGACTCGAAGTCCCTGCGTACGCTGTAGTTAACGGTCTGGTTTCTTGTCTCCTTAGTTACCACAGAATGAGGTGCCGCAGGTAGTTTGAACAAGGGTCGGGTGCAAGAAACTAGGCAAAGGAGTACCGGTCTCAGGACATCCGGAAGATGCAGCTTCGGTTGATGAGATCTGCCCCGGAACTTCATCGCTAGTATTTAGAGACCTTTATAGAATGGGTCAGAAATTATTCCAAAAACACTAATTGTGGATGTTGAGGAAGGGAACAGAAGGTGTCTCTAAGTCCCATTCCTCTGGTTGCTAGATATCGTTAATAGGGGAACAATACGCCAGGATTGAAATCTGCAAGCAAACCTTCCGTCTTCCTCCATAGCCGGCCCTGGAACAAGGTTGATTTGGATAGATGAATCAGAGGCTTGTTTGAGGCGGAGCTTATTATAGTAGTCGAACACGATTTCAAACGCCACTGCTATTACGTGTTGAAATTGCATGCGAGGGTACATTTCGAAACTGGGTCGATTATGGCCAAGACGCGGGTGGAAAGTCCTAGCGCCCCGTCATGCTATTTTCATGAAGGATCCAGCACTCATTCTCTTGCAGAAACTTCCCAAATGGAGTTGAAGGGGTACAATGAGATAATTGAGACACGTGTTCTGGTGGGAGTTGTCGAATAATTGGTTTGAAATCGTCAAGCAGGAACTTTTTGTGACCGTATTGTGAAAGTGTCGAACGAGGTTGCTCTTATCGCTTTCGAGAAGCTTGTTATTACACAACTCTTAGTGTCCGATTTCTTCCTTACTTCTACGCTGAGAAGTCGGTCCTCATCAATGTCAACTGCTTGTCTGGGCGAGGATCATCGTTGGGCACAGTATTTCTAGAATAAAAGAAGTAAACGAACGTATAACGGTTTCATGGCTGAGGAGGGCTTATCTGAATGAATTTTTGAGGTTGGATTCAGTAGATCGGGCACTGGAGTTGATGCGCCATTCGCAGAAGGCGATTGTTGGAAGTTGATAGATATCTCGATGATCATATTGTGTTTCATAAGAGGAGCGCTCGTGGACCAGCCAGATTGTTACTATGAGATTGTTTTATAATGTGATGTGGTTGTGGTGGCAGTGGCTCTTATAAGGGAACGGTGACACATATCAATCATGATTTCCACATCAATCTAATGTGTTTGGAGGTTATTAGGATCAGTCTTTTTACCTTAGGAAACTATATTGGAGTATTTTCTGGAAACGGTCCCTTGTATTATCTAAAAAGCTTAGAAAGGGATTTCCCAACGTCATTAATCAGTTTGAACTAGTAGCAGTACATTGTTTTGATTTGGTTTCCTTTCAAGTTGGAGTAGAGCTGGTCGCGCCGCGCAACGATGGATCTCGACTTGTCGTTTCCACTCGCGAAACTGATCGAGCTTCTGCAGATGACCTGGTTGCTCTGGCGCAGCAGTTATCATCCGCCCGGTATGTCTGTACCATGATTCTAGCACGAACTGATAGTAAGCGCTGAAATTGTCAACTTATTCAGTGAGTTAGTGAAAGGCCGAGCTTGCGATCGTCTGAGAAATATCGCAGAGCAAATGGAGCAGTTACAGAAGGTGAATGCAAGTTTCTCAATCGACCTTATGACAAAAACATCTGCTCATATCATATTTGTAGGCTGCACTCAAGGTGTTAGAAGAGGCAAAACGGGATGAGGAGTTGCACAGCGTGGCGTGCAATATGCAGAAGCAGCCCGGGCGTATATATCACCTCTACCAACGAAAAGATGGCTACAGGTGAGCTAGTAGTTCTCAACCAGTTCCACTAGTTTTACACCCCGTTTCCAACGTCCTGAAGTTTTTAGATATTTTTCTCTCCTATGCCCAGACGAATGGGGAAAGGAAGAGAAAAGAAAAGAGTACGTGGCTTCATATCGCTTAGAACCTGATCGGAGTTGGACTCCAACGGCAGACATAGTTAAGCGGGATCTACAATTTCGCAGCTTGGACGAGTTTCTCAAGCGACCCATGTTCAAAATCGAATGACATTCTACTGAAGGTTTTTCTGAAGAGCCTACTCGTTTATAGGAAAATGTGTGGGCGATTAGTTGTCTCTTTTTGAACCGACTTGGGAATTTGCATTTGTACTTGGAAGTTTTCGTTGTTGTCGCAACCTTTCTGAAATAGTAGCATGGAATTTGTGGGTACGTTACTATCCTATCGCCGAGAGAATAGGATCATTACTACTTTGAAATTTGGTCTCCCTCTCGCACCGCAATGTACTTCGCGCCTCATTTTGCGGTGTGACCTGATAATTTCGGTGTTAGAACCGCACGTTCCTTGAAATTTGTGTTTTGTGATCTTGATTTCAACGAACATCATTTTGCTAGCTAGCTTCTTCGTATGTGCGTTAATGATTGGTTCCATAATTAGCGTTGAGCATGCTTAATTTATCGTTTAAAGTGGAATGTTCGTAGATCTTTTTAGGATGTTTATCTTTTTCTGCTCTTCATGCTATTTCTCTGTTCTTGAGGTACTTTGCCTAAACAATAACTAGTTCTTTTTTACTAAGAATATATCAGAATGGGTGAGGGAGGGGGTATAATGGCTTATTTTCCTCATTGGCCGTCATGGAAGTGCATGGAACTGTTGTTAAAATCTCGCTAAGAAAGAAATTTTAGAGTTCGTTAGAATTTTTGTGTTTATGCGGAATTATTTTGTGAAATAGTCGCATTACTACGCTGTTAAGCGTTTGAACAAGGGTTTGTTGAACAAACTGAGTTGTATGGAACTACGGGGTACTGCTGTTGAGTTGATTCTCGAAGCCGTTAATAGTGCACATGTAGCAGCTTCTCATCATTTGATCGATTCTGTATTACTGTGCTTGACATTAGTTTTCGATTCTTACTAGTCAGTGGTATCATTTACGTTGTCAGCACCCTTTCTAGACTAGAAATTCAGATGCACTGATGATTCACCTGATATCATTTATTCATAGCTGCGAGTATTCAATAAATTCCTTATCACTCGTTTTTAAAATTACTCTACCGCAGTTTCTAGACAACATCGGCATACTGTAAAATTTATCTTGTTGTTTCATAGTAAAATATGGTCTATAACAAAATTTAAACACAACTAAGATGTTGGGGAGAGAGACAGTGATCCTTGACAATGGAGGCCATACAATGAAAATTGGCACAAGCCGAGATATTGAGCCAAGGTAACTTTTAACATAGCTTTCTGTATCGAAACTGTTTGATCTTCTTATATGTCAGGCTCATCCCTAATTGTATCGTCAAAGCCAAAGCAGATCGAAAACGTGAATTTGTTGCTGATGAGCAATCGGAATGCACGGACAAGACTGGTCTTTTCTACGTTTTACCCTTTGAGAGAGGATATTTAGGTAATTTTTCTTTTCCTTCTGTTTGCCAAACTTTAGATACCAGTTTCATAAAGATAAGAATTTCAGTGAACCCCGATGTTGAGGAACAAATTTGGGAGACCGTATTCGAATCATATCCTACTAAAGATAGTCGTATAGTCCTCACCGATCCTAATTATCTTATTCCTGCCATTGAAGATGTTAGCGTCGAAGTGTTATTTGAACAACACAATTTTCATTCTATCTATAAGGCATCAGGTAAGTAACCTTCATCTTCGCTTCTTAACTTATTGTTTTGTAGTAACTCCATACAATTTTGCTGACTTTACAGCTGCCGGCTTCATCGCCTTAGAGGGTTCATGTCGCAATATACGCTGTGCTCTGGTTGTTGATTGTGGCTTCTCATGTGTCACTGTAGCTCCATTTCTTGATGGCAAAGCCATTCAGCAGGGCATCGTACGGTAACTGCTTTATTGGTTTCCTTTTTGTTGCATTTTCCCCTTCTGTGACGCTTCCAAAGTTGTTTTTTCTACAGGATAGACGTAGGCGGAAAGGTGCTGACTAATCAGCTAAAGGAATGGATTACGTATCGTGATCTCAATGTTCTAGAAGAAACGTATATTATGAATCAATGCAAAGAAGATGCCTGCTTTGTCTCTCAGGATTTCAATAACGATATGAAGATTGCAAAGTAAGTGAGGACTATTTTGAAGGGATAAAGTCTTTTGGCTTTAATCAATCCCGTCCGAAGGATGCGTCCACGCATTCGACTTCCATTCAGAATCGTAATGGTGTATTGAATATGTATGAGGCCTATAAAATGATTTCGGTACGCAGTCGATGTACGAGTCAGTGCTTTTGTGCTCCCATACGAGTCAGTTACCAATTACCCATACCTATCAACCGAATACTCAATCTACTTTTAGTCTGCTACCTATCAACTCCGTAAGAAAGCGGGAGAACGCACTCCTAAGGGCGCGTGCGTAGTATAGGACCTGCATTTTGTCCCGACTAGAATCATGAAATAGTGGCCAATATGAGCGAACATTTGCCATAGTATTAAGATATAAAATACCTCCAACTCCTTTCAAGCACCGTACAAAGGCGTTTCTGCAAATGACTGAAATAGGCGTGGTAGATGCGTAATACTAGATGTGCGTTACACAGTACTTCATATTTGACGACAGTTTTGACGTTGTGTGTATAGTTTAGTTATGCATTTACGAATATTGTAGCGTGAGTTGTTTTCTGTTGAGTTTCCAATGTAATTATTCTTTGTGTGGTTTTCGGTTCAGGGTGCATCGAGGAAAGTTTCAGTTTCAGTGTCAAATAATAGGAAATTCCGGTTGGGTTTGTTGCTTTTTGATATAGCTTTGTTCCTGACGCCTTCCCAGCTGATTACTGTGCTTTACGCTTGAGGTTTTCTAGGACTTAGATAGTTTGAGTACAAACTTGCCACTTATACTATAGTGCAGTTAAAACGGGATCGGACATATGTTATAAATACCCTAGTGAGGTCATCTGCTCCCTGTTGTATATCTCGCACAAGATTTTCGCTTTCCATATATTCTTACTTCTTTGTTCTGATCGGATCCATTAATGCACTTTCAGATATCGCGATGGTCGCAATACGATACGCCGTGAATACGTTTTACCGGATTTCTGCCGACTATTTCGTGGGTACCTTAGGGAACCATCAACATTGGGAAAGTTCTCACTGCCGGAGGATTCCCCACAACACATTACTATAAATCGCGAGCGCTTCGCTTTGCCGGAAATATTATTTCAGTTGGTTGAAAATATTTATTTGACCTTTTGTCTTGGAGGCCTTAAGCATTCAATGGCACTCAGGTGATATATTTTAGTCCATCGGATATTGGCCTCAATCAAATGGGAGTAGTAGAAGCTGTCGTCGAATCATTATCTCGATGTCCAGTGAATTTACGACCAGCACTAGTGCAGAACATATCTCTCGTAGGAGGATGTACTCTGTTCCCAGGTTTCCGTGATCGATTGTGAGTCGTTTTGTGTTGGATGATGATTCATCTCTTCCTGTCGGGTATTTTTACTTGCTGCTAAATAAATGAGATCAGGAACACTTCATTTAAAAGGATTGGGTATTAATCATTTGCATACCTTTAAACTGCTTGCCAACGTGCCCGGGTCCATACTGCTTCCTTCCCTTAAAGAAAAAATAAGTACTATTGGTTGGGATAGAAGGTTCAATCTTTTTTTCAGCATATCTGAACTCCGATCATACATGGACGTGGATTGGTGTGTAGCTCTTGCTGACGTTATCAATCCGATCACCCACGCTTGGTCATGTGCATCCTCTGCTTTTTCCGGTGACATGGCTGAGGAGGATCAGCTTTTTGTTACGCGAGAAGAATGGAATGAGCATGGAGAAGAGATATTACATAAGAAATTCTTAAATTTCCTGGATTTCGACTCTGAGGAGGCTGATGAAGCCTCAGATGAAGCTATAGAGTGAATTCTGTCACGCAGTCTTTTTTTGCAGGGGAATTTTCATATTATTTCTTTAAGTTATCTCGATAGGGTCCATTTAATTTCGCAAATACGTGTAATTCAAGTTTTGGAAACTGTTGATCTCATTTCCCAATTTGTTTTTCCGTTGTAATTTGATGTTGTATGTCCAGAATTACATGTGTAAATAATTTTTACATTTTTCCGTTCGTGGTTTTGCCATTTTTTATCTGAATATTGTATTTTGTGATCATGTAATATTGCAGATACCGTAATAATATTTCCAGGGATTCATTAAGAACGTACTGGGGTTAAACGTAATTTCTGATCATCATGTCAGCTGGGCCAATTATTGAACGTAATCAAGGTAGGATGTTGCAAGAGCTATTCCACGATTTAACTTTTTAAAACGAACAGTTGGAAGCGTTTCTCCTCAAAATTTCCTCTATGGTGCCACTTTCTTAATTAGTTTTCCTTTGTAAGGGTTATCGCTATGTGTTGCTCTGTTTCAGATGCCACAATATATGTCGGAGGCCTCGACGAGAAGGTTACAGAGAATGTGCTTTGGGAGTTAATGGTTCAAGCAGGTCCCGTCACGAGTGTGAATATGCCCAAGGATCGAGTGACGGCGAACCATCAAGGGTCTGTGGTCTTGTTCCAATACTTTTTAGTTTGTCTTTTCTTTACGGTAAGGTTTCTCCTCGCTTGGCGGAACATGTTTTCTGAGCAGCCCTTTCTTTAGCCAATCGCTTAATTTAGCTCTTTTTTCATTCTAATTTTTCGCATTAGGAGATCTGTATTGTTTTTTTTTTTACCAGAACAGCTTTTTCGCCTCAATGGTAGGAAGGTTTTCTGGGTAGAATGGTGAAGTGTTCATGAGAGTTGTCGGTCAAAATAACCTGAATTCTTTTCCTAATATAAAGCGAAATAGGGTTATGCTGTTAATAATTTTCGTGTGACGCCGGCACCTGGTGACTTCCGAGGCGATCCTGTGGAATTCATACATCGAAATAACTTTTTACCTTGGACCCAGAGCGTAGTTGCATCTTGCTTTGTTGTGAGGCTGTAGAGACTCCTAGATTGTGTATGTTGTCCTTTTATTCCAGCTCCATATCCTCAAAATAAAAATGGAGTAGTCGCAAAGGTGGAACTGATGCTATGGATCATGTTTATGACCTTAGCCGCCACGTGTCTATTCGAAAAATTGATGTACTTTAAGGTTTGGCTTCGTTGAGTTCGTGGGTGAGGAAGATGCGGACTACGCAATAAAGATTTTAAATATGATAAAGCTGTACGGAAAACCTATAAAAGTAAGTTGGAGAAGTTCTAGTAATTTATCGTTTCTTGCAGTTGCAAGCTATGCTGAGTCTGTGTTTTGAATCTCAGTATGCATAGTTGCCAGAGGTGTTGAGGGGCATTGTCAACATTTTCATCGAAGTAATCTTCAGGGGTTTTCTACTGTTTTCTACAAACTCAAATTTCAGGTGAATAAAGCAAGCGCTCATGAAAAGAACATGGATGTTGGCGCTAACATTTTTGTTGGAAATCTTGATTCAGAGGTATCCCTTGTTAGTTTCTTTCTGTCATTTTCGTTACATACTGTCACGTTTATACTTCAGGTTGACGAAAAGCTTCTTTATGATACCTTCAGTGCATTTGGAGTAATTCTTCAAGTGAGATGATTTTTCACTTCCTTTTTTCGGCTTTTGGGTTTCCGATCTCTTAAGGTCTGCATTTGATGAGCATTAAACACTAGAAGGTTTCAACTTTCAGGTGCCCAAAATTATGCGTGATCCAGAAACAGGCAACAGTAAAGGTTTCGCTTTTATCAATTTTGCATCATTCGAAGCATCCGATATGGCCATGGAAGCCATGAATGGGCAGTTCCTTTGCAATCGGTATGAGCTTTTGTATTTCTAACTTCCCTCAAATTTACAGACGCTTTGGTTGCAGGGCTATTTCTGTCTCGTACGCTTTCAAAAAGGATGCGAAAGGTGAGCGGCACGGTACTGCTGCAGAACGTATGCTGGCTGCTCAAAACCCTCTGTTCCCGAAGGATCGTCCCAACCAGGTGCGTCAGCGTTTGCTTGTAAAAGAGTGTTACCCTCGGAGTCATCCATTTTCGTTCAGATGTTCTCCGACGCTCCCGGAAGACTTCCATTCCCACCACCCATGCCTGGAATGCCTCCAATTATACCAGGACTACCAGGAATGCCTCCAATGCCTCCTCCTTTGCCTATGGGTATGGCTGGTATGGCTTTCCCACCACCGCCGCCGACTGCAACTCCAATGCCTCCTCCTCCACCACCACCTGTGCCACCAACACCGACCATAACACCACGTCCACCTCCACCGCCAATGTCAAGTAAGTTGGTTGTAACCGTAGTAAGTCATGCGCTTGTTTGGGCTTCACTTGTAAATGTTTTACTTTCAGCTGGAGGGGCGCAGTGGCCTATGCCACCACCACCGCCTACACACACGCCAAGTATGCCGACTCCACCTCCACCCCCTCCTTCACGTGGAACATCATCTTTTGTGCCTCCTCCACCACCAGGTTCAATGCCACCTCCTCCAGGGCCGCCACCAGGTCCGCCTGGTCCACCAGGACCTCCACCACCAGGTCCTCCCGCACCTCCAGGGCCTCCTCCTCCAGGAATGATGCCTCCTCCTCCAAGGTACTCACTGCTCTCTTTTTTCTAACATATCTAAAATCTTTTAGATGCTATTAGTGGCCACTTTTATCTCGGATGCTTCAGTCGGGTTTATTCTTTTTTTTTCTGAGTATGTGTCGTGACCAAGATCTCAGCTATTTGCAATCGCGTTTGAGCAAAACTCTTTCCTTGAATGAACATTTATAATAGCTACAAAGATAAAGCTGGACGAGCATCATTTTCTTTTTCAGGTTCCCACCAGGAATGCCCCCTCCACCACCACGATTCAACTCTGCTGCGCCGCCGCCGAGCTCCGGACAGTTCCCTCCTCCTCCGCCTCCTTCAAGACCGCCTGTTCCACCTCCTCCTGGACAAGCACCACCACCACCAATTCCACCTCCACCACCGTCATCATAAACCAATCAATCATCATCGTCTATCTANTACCATCAACTTCTTTGTTGTAATTGGAAGTATTCGACTTTCTCTTGTGTTGAACGTGTGTATTTAATTCTCTCAAGGGTTTTTGTGTACCTATGCAGTTAGTTGATTTACTGTTACTGTTATTTCTTTGTGCGGTTGGATGAAGGTTTTGAAGGAGAAAACGTAGTCAGATTGCTAAGTTCATCAATAAGTTTGAGGATTGGGAGCTCGAATATGGTGGGCAGGTTTTATGTGGGAGTGAGTCCTAGTCCCTTGAAATTAGGTAGACCGCCTGAATCATTTTTCTTTGTATTCTATTCTGAAATTCTCCCAGACAGTTATTAGAAGGGTAGCACCATCAGAGCGCTTTCACTTTGCTATTTAATATTTATTTAATATATAATTTAATATCAGCTGCCGTAATTGTAAGACATGCCTTAGATTTTGTTCAGAATCGCTAAGCGATTGATTGGCTTTCGACTTATCGATACAAGATTCGCTATGGATCAATGTGTAGATTTCCGTGTTGGGTATAAATTCAGTTTCAGATGAAGTCATAGCTTAAAATTACGGTAGCTGAGAAAAGACAAATTTTGGATCTAATGTCCTTTCTTCAAAACTCAAAAGTGGCAGGAAATTTCGGAAAATTAAAGGCTCTACCGGAGTTCTTAGGCATCGCTCAGAACATTCTCGAACTGTTGTTAACGTCACATTCGTCTTTTCTACAGCTATAAACACATTATAACATAAGTACTTTTGAAGTGCTAAATAAACATCGCCACCGAAACATACTTTACTTCCAGCGAAACTGGTTAAGACGGCTGGTAAACTTTGCCCTTTCAGAATCAAACCAATTCAGCGAATATGATGAAGTCAAATGGATGGTTAGATGTCTGTAAGAAGTGATTGTGCCCGTTCGATTGACGGTAGTGCTCGCTATGTTTATTTGGAAGAAGCGCCAGCCCCTTCACGTCTTGATAACGCACTCATCAGCCAGATGCGGCACAATTCATTGCATCTGATTCCATTTTACGCTTTAGTGATCATCATTGCAGGTGAGAGCATCACACGGTCTCTCGTAAGCTGATTAGGTCTACTTACGTTTTTTACGAAAAGAAATAATCTCTTACTTTGTCCAACTGGTAAGTTGTCCAATCCATACTTAAAGATATTTTTCACGAAAATTCCAACCTCTCACGTCTCCCGCCATTCGATGGCCTGCGTTTCGCCATATCAACGCCACAGTAGAAACCACTCTCGCCCCGTTGAAAATCGAAGGTGTTGGGTCATGCTATTTTCGAACTCCTGCTCTCCTTTTAGCATCAATTGGCTCTTGTCCGAGTTTCCGTGTCCTCTCGACTCCTTGTCTTTTCATGGAAAGTAATCTTTCATACCTTTTTCAGTGAAAAATCGAATTTTTGACTTGGAATTCCTATTTTGATCTATAGCAACCAAAATCACGGATTTATGTTTAAAAGAAACTTTACATTCCTATGATAACGCCTGCGGGCAGCCATTTCTTGTTCGGAAATCCTTCTCCACTCGTCTGAATATAGTTACCTCGACTCCTAAAGGTCTTTAAGTTAAACGTTCCAATTCCGAACCCTTCTTTCTCAGAATCAGACCCCAAGTCTAATTTTTGTGTGGCTTGAAATTTTTTTTATTATTTCTGGATTACTTGCCAAGAGTGCTTTCAAGCGATTTGATCCAAACCGGTTACATTGCTCTGTGACACATTCCTTACAACCCAATTCGATTCGTAGCTGTTGTATAGATCTTTGATTCAGTAGAATCACTTCACATCGATCTCAGCATTTTTCACAGGATCTTTGAGTTGTTGCAATTGTGGAATCTGTTTCAACGTTGAGACGTGGCTCCTGACTTGAGAGGTCCATGGTAAACCCGAAAAATGGTAGACTAGTAGAACCCAAGAGCCACAGAACTACCCGGGGCTGCATAATATGGGCACCATTTGTTTGCTAGACCTCTAATTTATGCTCAGACAGTTCCAGATGTTTAGAATTCTTCAAGAATTCACGTATTCCTCAATTAATGCGTATTCAATTTTTGAAGGAGGTTTTCCTATGAACAACGGCTTTTTTCCCTTTGTAAACCTGTCCAACATACTCAATTTTAGCGATTTACAATTTTATGCCCTTTGTTTTCTTCCGTGAACAAGCCCCAACTGGAGATATCATTTGTTTTATCTAGCTTGTCAGAAGAATGTGTTAAAAAAGTTCCAGAACGTAGCCTGTTCCAGAACAAGATGCTTCTTTTACATGTGCCGTTTGGCCCAAAAAAAGAAAACTCGAGTCAAGTCCCCTTGAAATTAAGTTCTATTCTATAACTACTATCGATCCGTTAACTAATATCGATTTCCCTTGGAAATGGAAGCGGAACTAATACAGATTATAATTAGTTATAATAGTTTGGATCCGCGATTGAGTGTGTAGACAAGTAGGGATCCAAATACTGCAACGAATTTAGAACACCACCAATACGCGGCGCATATTGAAACAGGGCTGGTCATATCTACACATTCCATACCTTCCATTCGTATGCCCTTTAATTTAATACAATGCGTCGATAACTTTGTGGTATGTGTCCTATACAATGATTTACATCGGCTAGCCTATGTAGATGTCAGAGATTTAATACTCCCAGACGAACCTGTTACCAATGAGTTCACCCAGGAGGGATGCAGGGGTTTGTTGTCTGTTGTTATGCCAATGTCGACCCAAAGTTTGATCCCTGGACCATGTTTGCGTGAGTGTGCTCCCCTTGCCACTACACCATATTAAATATGTGACTAGTTTTCGCAAATACACTATTAGAAGTTGCTTTGGATAACTAGTGATTGATAAATCTTAATGAAAAGCTCACCTTCAATTTAGCCAACGCTGGAGCAGCATCAAGTGAGCTACAAGATGAATGGGTGCCGAGCGATCAGTTCGAGTCCCTCTTCAGTGAAGAGGACGAGTTCGATGAGGAGGACATGCAAGTATAAAATCTATTTTTAATTATTTCATTCATGACGTCTATGCCGTATTTGATTTTTCAAAAAAAAAAATCCGTATTTTTGCCATATTCCATTTACCGCTTTTCAGATCATGGGCTCGTTATTCACACAATTTTTGGCCGATTCTGAAACTCAGCTCATTCTAGACATGGATTTTTTCAAGCATTTTTTCAATTATGCCGAGGCGTACAGGTGCCGTTTCACTTGCGTTTCGTTGAGTCATTCTTTTTCGAATGCTATTCTTTTTATTCCTGTAATCCGAATCTTCTTTCTGTAGGGACGGTATTGAAGAAGGTAACTTGGACCTGATGAGATATGCGGTGAAGTTTGTGGACAAACTCAAACAATTTGACGTATCTTCAGGTAATTTCCGATGTTCGTAGATGGTTACGACAAGGCAGCACAAAGATTTATGAGATTCAAGGAGCTGCAGTTGAAAATAATTGGGCTGTAAAGATAATATCAGTCCTTTGGCCAACATCCTTATCTGTAGCCGACTCCGATAAAGAGGTCGCCAACTGATTTCTTTGCTGATCGGATGACGCTAATAGGGACGTTACTAATGAAATTGACCTTCCCCTTTATGTTTGCTTAGTTAGTAGGTAAGGACGTGTGGGTGAATAGAGGTGAGACGTGTGGGTGTGGGATGACATGATCAGCACCTTTGAGGAGGGTGGGAAGACTGGGTACCTCGAAATTCTTGGCGTCGGCTGAATCCCCTGGACGGGGTTTGGTGCTCGCCTAACCGAGAACAAGACTTCAGGCTTCCGGAATAGAGCTTAGAATCATTTAGTCGTTTGCTGTGACTATTTGGATCCATTACGAGTTAGATAGATATCGACCGGTCATTTGTGGGACGCGAAAGATGGTGGATTAGCACTTCCAGTAAGTACTCAGGAATCATTCCGAAGCTGATTTTCCTATACTGCTCTTCTCTGCTCTACAGTTCCTCAGCTAAAAGTGCCCATTCCCAGTTTCCCAGACTGATACTTATATGATCCAGCTGTTCCCGTAGTTCTGTAATTCCTCATCTCCCCATACCAACAATTCTCCGAAGCTGTCGGCGATTCTGCAACTCTGGACTCTGTCCTTGGGAGTCGGGCATTTCTATCTGAAGCACGTAGAAGATAGGAAGTAGAGCAGATTTTGCTCCTCCATGAAGCCCTTCGAACCCTTCATGAATAAAAACTCGGGCTTATCGACAGTGTTATATATAACCTTCTGAAAGACCGAGAAAAATAAAAAATTGGGTGTGCTTCAGATCGACTACTTATCACGCAAGGTAAATAATACAAAAACAAACAAACTGCGTGACTTTGCAACCCGCTCGACCAACTACTTAACTACAACATGTAGTTTGAGCTAACGAAGGGTGATGCATAAAGGCGAAGAAGGCCCTCAAACTCTAGGCTCTGCTAGTAAATGGTAAGACTGAAGTTTCGATGTGGTTCTGTTCAATTGATTGGCTTAGGTTGCGCCTCGCATTAGGTTTTTGTTAAGACAGCTTGGGAGTCATCTATCCAAGTGGCATGAGGAGGTGTTAGCCTTAAAGGACTCGGGTTTTAGAAGAAGACATTCCATCCAATGCCTCGTGGAGACGCGTACGGGAGAGTTTCTCATCAAAAAGAAATTTCAGCCTGTCTCTCTGATTTACTGCATTATGTCTGGACTGCAGTGGAGTACGCCACGCATGTTGAAGAGCACCGGAATTGCACAGACTGTAAATGTACGCCATTCTTCCAACAGAAGAAGAACGAAAGGCAATGGATTTTCAATGGTAAGTCAGTCAATCCTCATCATTCAAATTCGTTATTACTTCCAACTTTGTATTACCATTGTGGTTGTTTTTGTAATTTTCATCTGACCTCTTGCCCAGTTGATGCATATGGACTGCCTCAACTTAATTTTGCAGTACTGGATGCTATGGGAAAAGTACCATCAGGCATCACGGCTGGGAATAATCTTTGGGTTGGTTCATGGCATACATGTAGGAAAATCCATGTCGTGAAAAACAGTCAAGGGTAAGGGAGGTAAATTTGTCACGAAGAGAAGATGTCGATTCTCTCAAAAAACTTTTGTAGCCAGAAATGGAATGGTCAATATTGTATGGCACATCTGGAGGCTTATGAAAGGAACAATCCCTTGAAAGCTCTGGATGCTACGGGACCAGTTGACGCCCATTGCTTGTGAGTTTCCCTTTATCCAAGCCTCTTGACTAAAAGTTCAATTGGGATGTTTTTCTATTTCTATTTCTATTCTACGTTACTCCACTCCGCGTAAGTTACTGCCCACATGACTACTGAACTTTTGTTCTTGGTCTATTTCTTATTTTTCGGTTTTTTGTCTCCCATCGGTTGAGCATGGGAGCAGCGGAGAACCATAAGAAGAGTCCCATCGAGCCTGGTTACAGAGCTCTCCAAGCTAATAATATCTTCCTGTCCCATTTGGGTTGAGCGTTACTGACCATATACAAAAGGAAAAAATGGGAACGTCGGCTGTCTCATTTAAGCCATTGCATAGACTGAAATCTCAGGAATGCAATTACGGTTCGGGTTGGTATATTTTAAATTTCTGGGAGATGTTGCAACTAGGCTCGGGTAAGCCACAGGTCAGGAACTCCGAACTGCTTTCAGGTCCTTAAAAACGACAAGTAAGTCGAAACGTTGACCAAATAAACGGTTTCTACCCTAACAACCTGGCAAAGCAGTGTAAAACGCTATTACGGTTTTGATTGGAAGTTGGGTGCGTGGCGCATAGAAGAGTCCATTAATGCATTCCCAGCTTCTCGTAACAGCCAATTTTACTACAATCGGCTCACACCTTTTTCTGTTTTGAAGTCTTCACCACTGGAGCAGCTGTGAAAAAGATGTTACCTTACGAAATACAGTTCCGAACCAGATCGAGTAAGAGTTACTCCATTAGGATAGTTTTTTTCGCCATTAAACATTGAAACAGGTTCCATTCTGTTTCCATGAGAAATAAGTGCTTAAAAATAAACTAGTACGGTACTGGTAGGTGGGTGCTGGCCAATGTGAATGAAACAGGTGGGCATGGAATTAGAAAAAGGGAGTTCAGATTGAATTGGATCTTATTGCTTGAAGTTTCTTGCGGAAATTTTTAACACTTTCATTAAACGTTTTTTCTTGCATGAATTCTGCCATTCGTTTTCACGTAAAATGTTTTTTGTTGTTACAGCAATAAAGCGAATTTGAGCCAAGAAGAAGATGACGATGGTCGGTGTTTCACTCTCGTACCGATGCTCAATTTTGGAGTTTGCATGCCGGATTCATGCACGGACTATGACGTTACTCGGATGATTACTTTCGGTGAATTGGCTTTTGCTTTTCATACTTTTCCATTTGTATACCATATCTGGCACTATTAGGTCTGAAAACGGCCTTGTTAAGGGGCTCAAAGATTGGCTCGGGTGTATCCTCGGACGAGTTTCACCGGCATTCTAGAGACTGCATCGATCACAAGGGAACCCATGTAGGGAGTTCAAACAACTTGTCATGACCCATAGCGACAGTGAAAGACAGTTCTGGCTTGATGTTGTCAGTTCTTTATGCAATTGCAATAACTGAAATCTCGTCCGAATACCCCTTTCTTGTTATTGCCGCCATGGCAATCTCGTCCAACCTCTATTTTCCCTACTTTTGAGGTGCCATATTTTTCTCGAAGTTGGCGAATTCTCTCCCTTTCTTCGCTACCGATGAATTATTCCCAATCTATACTTCCATCTTTTTAATAAAAACGGGTACCACAAATTATCGTGAACTGTGCCTTTAAACTAACGTTTATCCAAATCGATCAAAGTCGATTAAATTAATTTCAGCTGTGCGCCTGGCTGAAAGTGCTGCTGGA